TACCTTTAAGGTATCGGCCTGTTCGGTTTTCCAAACATTGGGGAACAGTAATTTCGGTCTTTTATCAAGTAACATGGTTTATAACAAAAAAGGTGAACTCCATAGTAAAGGACCTACTGTAAAGGTAGGGCATGCGAGAAACGTTCAGTTGAGAACCAAATTGTTGATCCTGCTTTGGAGACAGAAAGGTTTTATGTGATTGGAAATACTGAAATAGGAATATTGTCCAACAGGCTCGTAATCCGTAGGGAAGAACGCAACAGTGAGGTGGAAGTTCCACGACTGGGGACAGAAACCTGGTAAGGTTGATTACTCGCTTTGGCACGATGGACGAGACAAGAATGTGAAAGGGAAGCCGTCCAAACGAATTCAGTAAGAGAGAACCCAAAGTATAACGATTGAGATGCGATGATAAAGCGACTGTCCGGCGATTGAAAAGTGGTTAGGTTGGAGATTTAAAACAGTTTGTTGATCAACCCAATGACCGTAAATGGAACTCGATCGAGAAGAAAATGAGCAAAATGTCAAACTCTATCCCAAACGTCGCTGTATTATTTGAGTGTTTGACGGATTTGAGCCTTGTATAGAAGAAGGAGGATGGTGTTGGACAGCTTTGCTGTCGTCCAGTTCAATATCACGCGTAACCTAGTGNCTCCTAGTCCCGGGGCTTAGGTTGCCAGTTTCCATCACTGAACAGTAGGTTTTCTTGACTTTGGGGTCCACCCTGTCTGCTGCTCATCACACAGAAAAGAATTTACAGGTGCGTCTGATGCAAAGTAGGAAACCGACCTTGCCGTCAGTACTAGACACAAGTAGAGACTGCTAAATGGAATTTATAGATGAACCCAGGGAAGAGAATTTGTGGGAGGCAGGAAATGTGTATCAAAAGACAATTCGGAGANGAGAATAAGGGGCACGTTTTGGGGATATTAAAAAAGGTGAAGTTTTGCACGCGTTGAAAAAGATCATTGAACCCCGGCGATTCACGATAGCCTTTTGTTTTAATCTCTTTACGAATTCCTGCCTCAGAATGTGGGTTCATTAAGAAAAAATTATTGGACCCGTGCCGGAGTAGCTGTGAAATAAACTGATGCCAATGGCCTGCTAAACTGTTCCTAAACGTGCTCAATCCAGTGCATAATATGTCCCTATTGATTATAACTGTCATTTATCTTCTTATTTCCCCCCTCATTAGTAATGAACGTGACGAGCTACAGCGTAAATTACGCCGTACTGAGGAGGAATTACAACACAACCAGACAAAACTGTCTGAGGTACGTAGTGAGTTGGAGGATCGCGTGAAGAAGCTGGAACAGGAGAAGATTGAGGCCAGCAACCAGCGCCAGGATGCCGAGAAGCGATGCACCGAGTACAGGTTCGTTTGACAATTTCAACTGTGATTTGACTCCAAATTATGTACTGGTCACTAATGGTGTGGATGATCAATTATTGTTCATTGTGAATGTTTATTTTCTCAGGATTCGTTTGCTTTAAGACCGATTCGTAATCAAATACGCTACACCGTATAAACCGTTTCACTTTGAAATCTTTGCTTCTGTTTGTTCATTCCTCCACGGTCCCGTAATCAGTGCCCAATGCGAAACATTGCGTAAGGCTGTTGACGCTCGGCAAACCACAATTGTCAAGTTGCGTGATATCGGGAAGAAGTATCGTAACGAAGCGGAAGTATTGCGCCGCCAACTGAGTGAGAGTCAATCTGGCGGTAAGAGATTCAATTCCAGTGCTCTAGCTGAATTGCTACTAGTTCTGGATGTATTCACCAACTGGACAGTGACCATCTGCTCTGGTTTGCATTAGCTTGTATAAAATCTGTTCTGTTTTCGGTTCTCACTCGGCGATTTGTCTCGTAGGTAGTTCTTCAACCCACGCACTGTCCTCGCCCACCTCCCGTTTCGTATCGACATTTTTTTTGACCAGATGTCAACCGCGCTAATTCATTTGGTGATTGTTTTTTTCTGGATTTTTTTCCTGGACTTTCATTATCCAGGCTCCCATGCGTGCTGTCCAATAAGTTTGTGTTACGCCAGGTGTGCGTGGTTGATGATTGTTTAAACTGAAGTGAATTAAAAAGGCGTGCAGGTCCCGCCAATTTCAAATGTCTAAATAGTCTGGCAATACACTTGATAAAAAGATAAAGTGGCAACTAGCCCGTTTTTTAGTGCTACATAATCATCCCAGTGCTAATTATGAATAAGGATTTGCGAAACAAACGCGGAAGTAATTCGAATGTTTTTCCGTTAGACACTTTTCTTAGTTGAACGCAAATATTTCTTTTGTTTTCTTATTCCAAGTCAGGTTATACGTTCATGTTTGTTTATTTTGTTTACAGGATTTAGCGGTTAACACGTTAGTTAGCTTCAGCGATATGTGCATTTTCAATTTCTGCATTTGTTCACGAAAGCAGTGGTGGATTTGGTTTGTTTCTACAATGAATTTTGTCGTGTACAGAACAAATTAAGCGTGCCATAAGTAATCATGTTTGGAATGTCTCTAACCGAGTCCTAACCCCGGAGGCGTGCGCTATGATGTACAAGGTGTGATGCCCGCATTAAGCTCGCCAAGATGAGTTGTGCATGATCGTGTACAGGAAAACTGTACGCGGCCTGATCAGCTGTCCGTTGGTCGAGTGGGTAGTAGGCTTGTTCTCTGCCTGTGAGGTCCGGGCTGCGATCCACATTCAGTTTGATGGGCTCGCGCTACCGTTCAAATCCTGCCAAGTTAAATTAACTGTTCATCGCGGAACGTGATGTTCATCAGGGTTACTCTCTTTCCTTTTGTACCTAACTTTTATATTTCATTGTGGAAACAGTCCTATCCTCATGCGAAGATAGTGGCATCGATTCCTCCCTGGTGGTTGTGTCGTATGTGGAGTGGAGCTAAGTGAAGATCAAGGTAAGTTGCAAGCTTTTTGGGATAGCTTGAATGCCAGTGTAACCATGTTCGATATATGTTTTGCACCTTCAAAGTGTAAAATGTTACCGCAAGACTGGCTTGGTCCAGCACCCAGCCTCACTCTGGCTGGGAAGTAATAGACCAGGTGGATAAGTTTTGCTATTTGGGCAACTATATCTCACCCGATGGACGCATCACGGATAAAGTTGCACCTCAAAGACAGATGGCTCAATTGGCATTGGTCAACTGGAGACATCTGTGGGGCCCACCACAACATCCGCCTATCCGTGAAGACTCGAGTGTATGATGAGGCATTTCGGCCAGATCTGTGATACAGCACAGCAACTTGGTCATTAAGAAAACAGGATAAAGATAGACTGTCGGTGTTCAAACACTGCTGTCTATGCAGCAGTGCACTCGTCTGGTATGGACAACCGGGCAAGTAATGCTGAAGTCAGGCGCACTTTTAGGTAACCGCATTCGCCCACTGGAACAAGTGTTCGACCTCCATAGATTACGTTGGTTGAGGCATATGTTGCGCGTTTCACCAAGTAGGTCGCCACGAAGCGCGATGTTTGCCGAGGCAAATAGTGGGTGACAAAAAACTAAGAGTGGTCAAAATAAGACCTGATACGAGGTTATGAAAGTCCTAACTAGGAGACTCGGTCATACAAGTCGTGTTAGGCTCCCTGAATGAGAATCCCGGGATCAATGATTGGAGATGCTGAGTGATATTGCTAATTATCCTAAACAGTAGTGTTCGTGTATCTTCTCAATTTCTATGCAACCTTAGTCCACTGAAATTCTCCATTTTCTCTTCTCAACTCTGTTTTCAATCCATACCAGCGCACGAAAGTGCATGAATAATGGTTGTACAAACTGAAAGCTTTCCAATAATTCATTGCTTTTTGGTTTACTGTTCATTTACTCTGTACACGACAAAATTCACAATATAATTAGACAACTGTCTTAGCTAACGGTTCTCAAATTTAGCTTCGTTTCGTCTACATAATCACCAAGTAATTTTTGTTTCTGATGTTTGATGCAGAAGCTGAATTGCAATCACTCAATGGCGCTCTGACTGAAGCTAAAGCTGATTTGGTCACTTTGAGAGCTGATTTGTCCACTGTTCGCGTTCAGAATAGTCAGCTTTCGGCCGATCTTCAGGAAGTTTCACAGATCCTGAACGACTTACGGGTGAGTTGTAACTTGTTTCTTTCTGACTGTACCACCTACGATGTCATATCTTATAAGTTCTGCAAACCTGCATCGCATATCCGTATTTCATCGGAATACGATCTTTACTTGCTCACCCAACGTTCGTTCTTCCAACAACCGGTTTGAACGTTTTCTTCGTTGCCAAAGTGATCTTCATGATTTATTATGTCACTATGTCACAATCACTCTGTTCCACGGTTCTCTTCCTTGCTGTTGGATTTACTCGGGTATGCCTATCGACGAGCATAAGCCGATTTTGGATACACCATGGATTTTCAGAGTATGCTGTAAGGGACGTTCCCAGGGTCACCTGGTCCTGTATGGGGTTGGGGAACAGACTTCTAGTTTCTACTCAACCAACTGATAGGTAACGGTGTGCTGCAGCAATGTTCTATGACCTAGGGTTTCATTCGATAGATTTGGATACAACCTATAAATCATTGTTCGTTGGTCGAATTTCCTTAGGGTCCGTTCCATCAGATAGTTCGTCTGATCTGTTTACTAAGGACTGGCTGACCTCGCATGTGGCACATCGTCTCATCGAAAGTTTTTGGATCCGGTGACCGTCAGTCTGATTTAACTGACTGGTCAAGCGGTTCGGCGGATTTTGGTTTTTGATGGATACCTCATGCCCTTGGAGCCTTAGAAAGGACATTGCAGTTTCCCAACTTTTAGGTATTGCTGTTGTCTAATATCGCCGACATCTCTGGTCCCCACGTCGTTACTTTACTTTACTATGCCAGCCTTCTTGGAAAGGATAAGCTGGCTCCACTCGTCCTTACGGGCCTGATGACACACATGAACAATACTCTATGGTTATTCATCCATGGGAGTGGGTGACTTTACCTCGTAATGTTCCATTTCGTTCCAATTGAAACCTGTTTTCCGTTTATTTAGTCTAATGCACATGTCTCCCTGATTCTCTTCTTTTTGTTAATCATTTTTTCTAGTCTAATAGCAACTTCGGTGCTCTAGTGTCCGCTATCCCAAGTCCACCTGCTTCCGATTCTACAGAAGGCACAAGACAGAATCTGGCTAGCATACTGCGTACCGTATTTGATGCTTTCTCGACCGAGTACGATCGACTGCATCAACAGGCCGAAGCTCAACGCGAACGTCTCCTTCGTCTTATGCTAGTTGAATCTCAACTGACCAAGGCGCTCCGCGAGAACACCGAGCTGCGTTTGCGGGTGACCGAGCTCCAATCCGCTCGACCTGCACAAATTGCTGTTTCTACTAACACGACCGGCATCGCAGTGGGGGTGTGTAAACTTATTTCATGTCCCTCAATTGTTTATCTGAATTACATATTTGTTTATTTTCTCCAGACGTAATGGTTGGTTTGATTCTGCCTGATCTTTCCTTTTATCAGATGTCTTACTGCTCGAGGTGTACGCCTTAATCCCCCTTGCGGGCATTATTGGCTGTGTAATATTCCAGATAGCACAAGGCTCTTGATCAGTTTCAAAGTTCTCAAATTTATTATGTGCGATTTAACAAAGCTAACGTTTATCATGTCCCGTAGGAATTTGATAGAATGTTTGGGACAACTTTAAGAAATAAACCTGAGAATAGTATAAGCGATCGTTCACAAATGAATCGGTCGGCTTCATCGAGGGCTAGATACACTGAGTGTCATTCACAGTAGTATCCAAGCATTGTCCTTGAAGTTCACCAGTTATCTATTTTCACCTTCCCGCACTTCTCATGATTCCAATCTTCCTTACCTACCTTCATCCAGATGGGCAATCAAAAGACTGACCCAAACTGTTGTACGAGAGCACATGGCATATGGGTGTTCAAACTGAGCTGAACATTTGCAACCTATGCGTAGTTTCATGCAAATCATGTTATTATCATGTGTTCTGTTTCTTAATGACTTGTATCGGTATCTGCTTTTGTATTCTGTATGGGAAATTCCTACAGAACATGTTGGGATAGGATCTGTGTTTTACATTGGGTCGCCATTTTTGTTTTTCCTGAACGAGTACACCTGTGGTGGTGTTTGTGTGATCATAATGTGGAGTTTATTAGCATCGATAGACTCCAAATTTGCTGTACGCGTTTTTGCCAACTCGTTGATGTAAATCTTGACTGGTTGACATCACCAAACGCACATACTTTAGTAAGTAAAATTTCCGGGTTTGATATCGCCATCCCAACGATTGTTACAGAAAAATCGAAATGAGGCACGAATTTCACATATTACCCAATATCAGTTTTGGAAAGCAGACCGCATAACTTCCATTGAGTGTTTTACTGTATTTCTTTTATCCGATAGTTACTCTGTGATTCTTCGGATGCATGATCTAGCAGGTCCTGAACAAATCGGTATTGTTTTAGTACATACCTCAGATTTTAACCTTATCACCAACCGATCTGTCATTATCGCTCAACATTTGACGACGATTAGTCATTTGTCTAGGGATCACCTGACTCGAGGCGGTTACCAATCGGCACTGTATAATGTTGTACCAAAGTAGCCCAGTTAGCTCTCTGTCACAGCTGATTCCACCGGATTCGGTGGTGTCTCTAACTGCTCTGTAGTGTGGAGTCGTTCTTTTGCAATAAATGAATTTGCTGAAAGGTTTTCCACAATGGATTCCCGACATACGCAACCGGTTAAAAAGACAGCTGTTCAAAAGTAAATCAATGTTTATTATTGCCATTTGATTTTCGTTTTTTTCGCTTGAGTGAACCTTCGCTCTGTGCGTACGTAATGCGCCAATTTTCCTCATTCAATTTCTTTAAATTTAGTCGGAAACGGATGCCACAGAAGTTGTATCCACGTCTGCGCGAACTCAGCTCACGACTACCAGCGTTTCTGAATCCGCGGGGTGTGAAAACACCGCGACCCAGGAGAATGTATCCATTGGAACCAATATCCGACCGTTATCCCTTCCACAACCAGCTATTCCGGCTTGGATTGTACGCGCCTCGGCCACCTCATCCACCATGCAATCCGTACCACCTACCCCGTCAGTGACTCCACCGAATTCTGTTGGTTCGGGACCAAAGCAAACAGCTGAAATTCGCCCGATCACAAGCAACGTGGCCACCGTGATTCCCACCCCGGCGTTGCAACCTGGTAGGCATCTTTCATTTTCAACTTTACTTTCGAAGGGTGAAAGTCACACGTTACAGCATGGAGTCATGTTTTACTGTCCTGGATCGGATTATTATTATTTTATCGTCTGTTGAAATTATTATCAATTGAAGGCGTTTTCTACGTTTTGTTCTGTCGTGCACACCAAAAACGATAATTTCCCTTGAATATCTTTTCCGTTGAAATGCAGTTGTCACTTAACGATAATTTTATTTTAGTCGCTACCATCTCATTGGCCACGCCAGGGGATTCTGTGTTTGCCCCGGCTGTGCAAGTCAGTTCTTCGCATTCGGCCGCGGTACAAGAGTGCGGTCTTGCCACAACGTCAGTTGTATCTAATGTGCATATGACGGTGGATCAGCCAACTTTGTTCCGCACTGATCCCGTTTCCGGTGAGTCAGTCTGTCGAGCTTTCTCCAATATTCCTGTGCCCTCTCACCGTTTCTGGTCAATATCTTGACGCATATAGCTGAATAAATTTCATTTGTACATCTGGTTTCTGTTAGTTGGAAGTTCCACCCGCTTTTGGTACCATTCCAGTAACTCATCGTTCATTCTATTTTGTTTCCATGCGCATATAATTCACGTGTGACCATAAACACATTATAGGCAAACTTGGTGAAATGCTTCCGGATGCCTCGTTAATTTGTCTAAATTTGTGCGATTCTATGCCTTGATAGAACATGTTATTTGTCAGTTAGTTGGATTCAGGGTGACGATACACACTGGGTTAACTTAGGCATTAGTAACTTGTAAAGTTCGAGGGCACTTCACCTTCACTTTACATCTTCGTCAACCTTTCTCTATCATGGTATGGCTTAAATAACTACCCCTTTGGTTGGCCGATACGAAAGAAGGAAATGGACCAATTAAGACAACCGAGAGAACTAAATCTCCCCAGAAAGTCATTATTTACACGAGTGGCGTATTTCACTGCTGTCGTAGATGAAACATTGGGGAATATTCGTTACCGAGACTCTGCACTTCAACTGAGTTTGATGGCGATCGCTTCTGTCAAGCCCAACGATTTTACCATGTGTGAAAGGTCAGGCAAAGTCCTCTTTTGGACCTCGAGATACGACTCGAATTGACGTCTCACTCGGTGAAAATGATGACGGATTAACCGAACTACGTTAAGGGGCTTACAGTTAACTTCTCAGAACTAAAGGCTTAGTAGAAAATCTTGATCGTTCTCTTGCTTCGTTGTTGGACGTCCTTTCACCTTCGCATCGGACTCCAATGAATATGCAAACTTTAAAGACTTCCATGATGCCTTCGGTCGTCGCGGAGAGTAATCAAAGCAGCTGTTCCCGTTACATGGAGCGGGAAGGGTGATGATAAGTGGGGTACTGCTCATA